TATATATATATATATATATATATATATATATATATATATATTTCATAAATTGAGACCTGAAAGTATAACGTGCTCTAGCAAGCCTTGGTGTTGCTCAAGCCCAGTCCCTTGCTGCTCTTTCATTTACATCTAATAATACACTCAGGGAAAATAATTTGTGCTCATTAGGGAGCATAGTGACAGTGAGACTATTTGGTCCCCCCTAGTGAGCATCCATGGCCAAAACCAAAATGAGTTGACTGTGTACCATGAGGTAATCGCATATCAAAAGATTTTATGAAGTATGCTCCCTTGTAAGCATACACTCCCAAAATTATCATTTTAAAAGATATTATTATCATCCCTATGTCCAACTTTTTGGGGTCAGCTAATTTCAAAAGATTTGTAAGGAAAACTATAATATAAAATCCAGATTCAACCCAAAAATTAAAAATATCAATATATTTCATAAATTGGACACAAACCTAGACCCAACCTGTCGAGTCCAATCTTTGGACCCATACCTGGACCTTGGGAGGGGTCTACCCGTCAGGTCCCAGGTTGGTTCGGGTCTTTTGCCACCACAACTTAATTTAAAGAAGAAAAATTTTTCTCCTGGGATTGTATACTGTGAGACCATTTATCTTTAATGTAAAGAGGTTACAAGTACTCCTAGCCATTAGATGTCTAATTGGGTGGCTTGAGGTTTGTCTCAAAGCACAAAAAATTTGTCTTTGGACTTTAAGTCTAGTCAAAGACACACTCATATCCATCTGATTTGAAATCTGACGGCCTAAAGTATTAAGACCTCCTTGTACTAAATGCAAATGATCTCTTTGTATATTTTTTTTATTTCTCCTTTACTTAAGTAAATGAAGATTAATCAAAATGCATATGACATACTAACTATTTAACATTTTACCCTTTCGTAGCCATCCCAACTTAAGACCATATGTTTTCTATAGGTATTTTGAAATTCAATCAAAAGATATTGGTAAAGTATTAATTTGTTGAGTAATTTGATAAATTTCCCTTAAGTAAAATAGCATATAACCAAAATGCCTCAATCAAGCCCTATCTAAAAACCTCACCATTTTATCTCAAACATAAAACTGATTTTTTCACCATATTAGGAACTTACCATGATGGATGCATCATAGGAAAATGAAGGAAGTATGGTGCTCATGAAGCAGGCAGGGGTGGTGGCGAGGCCAATGTCGAAGGCCTCACATCCGGCATCGCACAATCCCTCGAAGGCCGCAGAGCTCAACTCAGCGCCGGAGATGCGGGGGTCTCGCCCAAGGGAAACCCTCAAGGGGCCAGGATGGTCCTGCTTCTCCGCCACCCATAAGCCAAAGCTCTCGGCAAGAGCCCGCACTGCTTGTGGAGTCAAGTCAACCTCCTTTCCTTCCTCGCCTTCTAATGCGACACCCCTCACGTCCGAGCCATTCTGAAGCCTCCTAATTTTCGCTGCCGCTTCCTCTTTCTCTTCTCCTTTTGCTTCCTTGGCATAAACACTGGAAGTGGTGGTTGCCTCAGTTGATACCATCCGGAACGTCTTACTTCGCTGGAAAATTTGGATCCTCCGGGGTCTGATAGAGAGAAATGGAGATGATAGCACGTGCAATCTCGAACCATTTTGAAATCTGGTGATCTTAACACCATTGTTGTCATCCTCTTCTTTTGCCAATATGTTTGAGGCCTCTGTGGCCTTGATTGATAACTGCCGGAAATCTCCAGTTGGCCAGAAAATTTTAACGTCCCGGCGATGGGCCGACAAAGATGGGCGTGTAGTCCATGTGTAGTTGCATCTGAGAGACGTAGAGGTGGAGGAAGAGGAAGAAGAAGAAGACATGGTTGTGATAGTTGTCTCAATGTGGGCGTCTCATAGAAGATATAAGACGATAACACGAGGTTGATGGACCTTGTGTTCTTTACATTGAAATATCTCAAAGACCTAAGTAGTTTGGACACTACTACATCGATTATGTTGTATATATTTTGTGGTGTGAACAAAAGATGAGGGTCGAACCGTAAGATTATTGGCGGGAACGAAAGAGTTAGAAAGCCATGGGATATTTCTGTTAAGTTTGTATAGCATGCTCCCGAGGGATCATACTGTACGCTTACTCTCTTGGGCAAAATAGTTATTTGGGAGGACTCATGTGACATTTTAGCATCTACACAAGAATCAACAGTGGGTATTTTAAAAGAAAAAAAAAAACGATTTTGAGTTTCAAAAATTTGGAGGTTCTTGTTTAATCTTGAGACATTAATTTTTTTAAGTTTTTTCACAGTATACATGGAGTCCATTTACCTCTAGTAGATGGAGGTCGCAATTACTTATAACCATCCGATGTGAAATCTGATAGATTGGGTATGTCACAAAGTTGGAGAAGATTTCTTTTGAACTTTGAGCTTGTTCTATGAAATAAATGCAGTCAAGATTGATTCTGACCACCTTATACTAAAAATAAATAGTCTCATTATATATATATATATATATTATTTTTTTTTTCACATAGAAAGTAAATTTTTTAACTTTCTTTTTTCTCTTTCTTCTTTTTGAGGTTGGTTGCTAGATAGAAGAGCCTACATCCAGAGAATTTGGGGTCTAAAGGTACTCCTAGCTTGGGTTTTCAAATGCTACATCCACAAAGTTTGGGGTCGCAAAAGTGCTCTTAGCTTGGGTTTTACTAGAGGGAGCAAATGGATAGTGTGCTCCCATGGGAGCACAAAATCATTTCACCTTTTCTATTGTACCCAAGGCTTCGAGGTAGGGCAAAAAAAAAATCAACGAGACATATGGAGTACTATACGCTCACTTGTGCATGGTACCACCACGGGCATATCCACCTTCCATTGCCAATGACTAATGGCAGGGATGAATGGTACTATGAAGGGTGTCCGTGGTCAAAAGCTAAGGTGAAACTCCACCCGTCATCATCGGGAATAAATGGTGGATGCATTCGTATTACACTAAACCATGCATCGGTGTTCAGTGTCATACTCCTCCAAAAATCTCTTATCGTAATCTTAGAGGTTTCTAGACGTTGCTATCATGATTTACTACATAACAAATATGCTTTCTTTCTTTTGGAAAAATTTTATACAAATGTGAGGCTTTAAACAATCAAATTAGGACACACCTCAAAAATTTTATTAGAAGAGGTTGTTTGATGCTCAAATATCCTCAAATTGATCATCTCAACCTATCGACATGAGAAAAAAATGGATTTCAAGTTTTGAAAATAGTGCATATTGTAATGCATTTTTGGACTGTCAATTTTCAAGATTTTCAAGTTTTCGTTGATCTCCTCAATCTACACTATTTTTTAAGCTATAAATATTATAATTAGTGATGAAAATATATTTTAAGGCTATTACCAAGATTTCAAGTACTCAAACGACATTTATCGATACTATTTGAAAGTGCGCTGTACTTTGATTGTTTAGAACTTCGGCTTTATACAAACCGCACCCCTTTCTTTTTTGAATTATTTGAACGGTAACAAATATGCCTCTGTCTTCAAGTATAATAGATATTAGAAAATGGCACGTGCTTTTTGTGAAAAGTGGTATAAAAACAGTACAAAACACGATTTTTCCCTCCCTTTTGTGTGCTGAAATATCAATTGTAAAAATTAAAATGAAGACTAGAAAAATGCAAGTTCTATCTAATATATAAAAATTATACAATAAGACCGTTTAATTTTGGTACAAGAAAATCATAATCTCACTTAGCCTTTGAATTTACGTTGCGATTGTTGTGCTCTGGACGCGATTGTTGTGCTCTAATATCGTTTGTTGTGCGCGGAAGCAATAAACCCGATGGGTCAATATTTGACAAATAAAGTATGATAAATAACTCATGAAATACATACCACAAGAACGTGGTTCACCCAAAAGGACTACACCAATGAAAGTTACAAGAAGATTTTGGAACAAATCTTGACAAAAACTAAAGTTGAGCAAATCCTTTTAAACCTACTGTCATTGCTCTTCCAAACGGTACTACTGCCGATCTCTCATCTCTATTCCATAGCTATACCAATGTCTAGGAAATGGGAATCGCTTCGCTACGAGAAACTAGCCTTTCAATCTTAGGGAGTCCAAAAGAGACATCATCATGTTCAAAGGAAGCTCTCTTCTCTAATAGGAAATCACATCTTATGCACATGAGCCTCTACCTCCTTCTCTCTCTAGAGGAACCACTATACCCATATGGTGACCCAAATTGTACACACCAAAATTTTCTGCACTTTCATCCCCTGTATATACTTAGGAATCCACACAAAATAGGAAGTTATTGATATAACATATATCTTAAAAAACCAAGAGATAAATCGAAGTGTCCTAATCTTTTTGGATTTCATTTCATTTAGGAAACTTATCAATAGCAATTTCAATCCTACAAAATATGGGAATATCTCAATCTCACAATTATGAGAATATCTCAATCCCACAAATATGGGAATATCTCAATCAATCCCACAAAATATGAAAATATCTTTATGTGGGTGATTTTGGATAGCACAAAATTCAACAGCGATGTACTATTGATTGTGCTTAAAGTTTAAGAATATTTTTTTTGCTAAACTTTATGATACAATCCTAGCTGTCAGATTTCACATCTAATGGTTAAAAATGATTGTTACTTTGTGTTATGAGTGGTTTTTACATAAGTATCATATCTTGTTTCCTCAATATCATGCAGCTAGAGGTATGATAAACATCTTGACCATCATGCATTTAAGTTTGGGAAATGTTTTTGTGACACTATATTTCAAGCTGAATGACTTAGAGATGGAGGACTCGAAACTTTGTGTGAGATGGATGGAGGAATCGAAATTCTGCAAAATCATAATAGATATGAAAAAATAAATTTGGTGCCAATTGTTCTCACAACATTAGTCATGACATTAATGACAAGGTCATGAATGTCTTTTAAAACATCTTATAGTTTTTCATTCTCCATTGAAATTAGATCCATTAATTTTTTTGCACTATATTTGATGTTTGACTTTTCAATTTTTATAGTATTTTATTTTTAAGTGCGGTTTAACTTGGTGAAAAGTAAGGGCGAGTCAGAGAAACCCTTTTATAGTATTGATTTATAAGAATGTGAACGATAAGCTCTATAAGCTAGTGTTTCTAAAATCGAACCGGAATGGTTGGCTCAAAAACGGTTTAATTGGTCTAACCAGTAAATTTGTCGATTTAACCATTCTAACCGGGCAAGTCTCGGGCGGTCAAAAAAGTATTGAAAAAATAAAAAGATACAAAAAAGGGTCTACTAAAATATAAGAAACATATAAAGATTGATTAAAACAAAAGAGATTCAAATAAAGTTGAAAATTAATGACAAAATGGATTTTAACGAATTGATTTTTGAATTAAAGTGAGTATTAATAACCAAAACAATTTTTAGTTTTTGCCATAATGTAAAGACTATTAAAAAATGCATTACAAACCAAATTCCTTTTTTTTGGGAATTTATACACATTTTTTTGAATTTTTTCTTTTTAAATACCGGTCGATCACCAAAACCGCCTAAAACCGGAATTGGCAAATGGCCGATTCAGATCAAACTGGGCGATTAGCGGTTAGAACGCTCGATTTTTCCAACAATGCTATAAACTCTTTGGTTCATATCAACTTGTGAGTATGAGAAATTATGCCATGATGCTTAGCTGTACAAGAGATTTTGTCTCGAGGTCTGTCCGCTAGTTGACAGCTATAGTAAACACCCAATGGCCTATATTGAATACGTGGCACTTCAGTGGTCAGGATTGGATTTAGTATTCAAATTTTTATTTCTTTTTATAAATTCAATTCATTTGAAAAATTGAGTGTCTACTCTTGAAAAATAAGCCAACTTAATAAAAATATTTAAAAAAATAAATTACCACATGAGTGTTTTGGTCAATTTATTTATTTTATAAATAATGTTTTGAATATTTTTATTAGGTGTACCTTGAAGAGAAGATTGGACGCTTTAAATTTCCAAAAATTTGAATTTTTAGAAAATGATTAAAATTCAAATATGAAATATAATTGTGACAATCAGATCAACCCATATTAAATATGGACCACTGGACTTACACTATTCTATCGGCTAGTAGGTTTATTGGATCTTTTCCCTTTAAAAAATTGTATGATGTACTATTGATTTGGATTTCATTTACATTTAGAATGTCATTAAGACTTTTATTGGTGAAGATGGAAGGAGAAGCGTTGGGTTTTTGGAGAGAAGGATTGGCTTCTTTAAAGAGATCGGTGATGATATGAGTTATGTGGAAAGAGAGGTGGATATTTTATGGGGATTGAGATGAAGATATTTCACCCGTTGGCTATGGCTGCTTCTGTGAGGTTTTTAGTGAAGAAAGAGGTGTCTTCATCTTTGTTTGATTTTGTTTTGGAAAATTGTTTCATGCGACGGGAGACTGGAAGCGCATTTCTATATTTGTAGTCCCCGAGGTAGAAAACATTCATTTTAAAGATAGATGCAAATAGGTGATTCATTTAAAAATAATTGAAACGAATGGTCCGAATGTTTTTTTAATAGAATTATTATTTTTAATTTTAAAAATTTATTTATTTTTTCATATTCATGATCGTCATATTAGAGATTATTACATCATAATCATCATAGCCTTTTCCTAAATAATTGGCATAAGCTAATGATAAGTTTTAGTAAAATTTTAAGTTGGCTGCTTACCTAACACAACTCATCCTCTTTCCCCCGGTATGATATGGGTTAAAGGAAAGTTTAAGGCCATCACCCTTCTTTGACCATGTTAAAGATTACATGTCCTTAAAAATTAGGTAAAAAAATCCATCACAAAAATAGATTTTTGGGAGGTGACTCCTTTCTACATGGACTCATACAAACCGTGTCCTTTTGTTTTTAGTGAGACAACAAAAGCGCCATGGAGTGATTCTTGGGGCC